TACGTCACTCGTAATTTTTAATAGTGGGTTTGGCAAATACAACGGCAACGTCAACGAAGGCGTGATCAATTGATCATCAACAATAGATTTTTACTCGAAGTCAAAGGCGCTATACAGGGTGTCTCAAAAAAACCCAAAATCATTGAAATTGACGTATTGTTCGATATTCAATGCCCTAGCACTAAGTTAATCCCACGAGTGCATAAAAGATTGACATAACTGCTATAATGAATGGTAATGCTCAGCGTAAACTTGTTATGTCAGGCATAAAGTACTAAACCCACGAATGCATATTACGCATATTACAATTTACGAAGCATTTTTAAATTCCCATGAGCAAACAAACGTTCACTTTACAAGGATATTTTAATTTTTTAAAACAAATTAATCACCCTGTCAAAATCCTTTGTGTTACGGCATTGAAATTCGAACAATACGTTATTTCAATGATTTTGGGTTTTTTTGAGACACCCTGTACAGGGTGTCTCAAAAAAAACAAAAATCATTGAAATTGACGTATTGTTCGATATTCAATGCCCTAGCACTAAGTTAATCCCACGAGTGCATAAAAGATTGACATAACTGCTATAATGAATGGTAATACTCAGCGTAAACTTGTTATGTCAGGCATAAAGAACTAAACCCACGAATTTACGAAGCATTTTTAAATTCCCATGAGCAAACAAACGTTCACTTTACAAAGATATTTTAATTTTTTAAAACAAATTAATCACCCTGTCAAAATCCTTTGTGTTACGGCATTGAAATTCGAACAATACGTTATTTCAATGATTTTGGGTTTTTTTTAGACACCCTGTAGATTACGGTTAATTTGAATTTGAAAGGGTGTACATTTTTTTGAACACCCTGTACTGTACAGGGTGTCTCAAAAAAAACCAAAATCATTGAAATAACGTATTGTTCGAATTTCAATGCCGTAACACAAAGGATTTTGACAGGGTGATTAATTTGTTTTAAAAAATTAAAATATCTTTGTAAAGTGAACGTTTGTTTGCTCATGGGAATTTAAAATGCTTCGTAAATTGTAATATGCGTAATATGCATTCGTGGGTTTAGTACTTTATGCCTGACATAACAAGTTTACGCTGAGTATTACCATTCATTATAGCAGTTATGTCAATCTTTTATGCACTCGTGGGATTAACTTAGTGCTAGGGCATTGAATATCGAACAATACGTCAATTTCAATGATTTTGGTTTTTTTTGAGACACCCTGTACAGGGTGTATCAAAAAAAGCGCAACCTCGGAATTTCCCAAGAAATCGACATTGTTTTAAAGACAAAAGATTTTAGGCGCCTGGGAATTTAAAATAACATAACTGTCAAAATTACTGTACACGCGAGTGCATAAAGCAAAATTTATGCATTTATTTAATGCACAACGACAGTAATATGATCTATTAGCAATTCGATTTCAATTCCCAGGGGCCTAAAATCTTTTATGCTTACGAATTGCAAACGGATTTCTTAGGAAATTCCGAGGTTGCGTTTTTTTTTATACACCCTGTATATGTATATGTAAGCGCCTTTATGGTGTTTTTTTTTCGCTTTTGCTTTCGTCGCAAGTTAATTGAAGAGCGCGAGTGTCAAACAACGATAACGACTAAGCGGTATATCGAATGTCAGGTTTATCCGTGGACAACAACGTCGAGGCCATGTCGACTTCTACTGAATCTATTCACCATGCTTGTGGCTTGAAAGAATCAGATCTAAACGAGTTTTTCTTAGCTTACGACCCTGAGTTTAACAACGAAGACTTGCATGACCGCGTTTTGATCTTCGATGTGGTGAACGAGCAAAGACAAACCGATAATGCTGTCTCAACTACGACGCCTATACTGGGAGACAAGCTAGAAACATGTAGTATTGCAGGAGAAGTAATTTTGTCGTCCCCTTGCGCTGAAGGAGGTTTAAACCTGAAAGAAATCGAAGTCATTTCAGAACAAGTTAAGGTCTCAGAACGCAAAAGACATTTAGACGATGCCGAACAACAGCAGTCCCAAAATAAGAAATCTAGAGCAGAGTACGAGAGTGACATAGACGAAAATATAGGCACGGCTGTTCCTATCCAAGTCGAAACAACTACCGAATTTGGAAATGATAAGCTTTGCACAAACGAGAATATGGCGGAATATGACTTTGTGAATTCAGAACCCGTAACTATACGCGCGCACAAGATATTCGTGCACGCGACATTCCTAGCCGTACATAGCAAGTACTTTCGAGCAATGTTTTACTCGGGAATGAAAGAAGCAACGTCTAAAGAAGTGCATATCAAGATACATGAGTCCGAAGAACAAAGTCATTTAAAAATGCTTGAAGCCATATATCGTCCATATGTCCTTGATAATTCATCCGTGGAGGAATTGTTACAGATACTTGAACTGGCTGATAAGTACGATGTAACGTATGTATTCCGGAAGTGCAAATACGTATTACATAAATGCAATCTTAGCATTGCTGACTGCGAAATGATCATTAACTGTATCGAAATCAAGCAAAAGATGCCATCCACTTCTGACCTGGCTGCAACCGTAAGAGGATTTTTAGCGAGTGAATTCAATCCATTTGATACAAAATGGGAAACCGACAAGTTTACTAGTTTATCGGAAACATTGCTGCGTGTTTTGTTAAGTTGTGAAAATTTAGAAACACGATCTGAAAATACAATTTTTCATGCCTTGATGTACTGGATTGTAAGTACCGGTTACAACTATAACATTATTCCAAACGAAACGGAATCTCTTTTAAGTCTGGTTAAGTTTAGATTACTCACAATTGACTATCTTTACCATGTCGTACAAAACCATCACATTGCGAAAGAAATGCCATCATTCTCAGAGCTGTACCTGAATGGAATCACATATCATGCCTTACCAAGCTCAATGAAAAACATTGTACCTACTCGACCGAAATCTCACGAAAATACCGAGCAGTATACATGGGTGATAACCAGGGATGAAATGGAAGCCTTACGGCAAAAAGGAAGGTCAACCGCGGAAGAAACGGAAAACGAACCAAATATCGCATCCGACAATTGCCTTATATCTCCTAGATTTTGGTGGTGCGGTTATGAGATGCAAATGAACATGTTCCTCACCAAAACTTTCGCATTATGCCTGTACGGGAAGTTGCATTTACTTGTTCATGGCTTGAAGAAAAGAAGTAGACTTCCTGTTAAGTGGTTCATACGATGTGATGAAATTAAATTCTGGGCCACATCTTTCGTTGCATGCACGATGTTCACTTTTGAAACGAAGAGTTCAGGCGAGGATGTAATAATACGAAAACATCCTGACAGAGAGCGTTTTGTAATTCCTCAAGCAATCACTATTGGCATATGTATTAGTCATGACCCGAGCAGACTCCGATAACTGCATGAGTGTGTCAGGAAGACTTCAGAAACAATGCCTATATCATAAACTCGTGTTAAATGTTTATATAAGGAACCCTTTAACTATTGGCTGTTATTAATTCATCCAGTCAAAACGCTAGGCAGTTTAGTTTAATTAGCCTTTCTCACAAAGGCCAAAATCCGCCATTTTGGGTATACTCATGTCTGCCGTCGTGAAACATTCTAGACAATTCAAACAACGTGAAAAGCGACTTTTAAAAATTGTGTAACTGTTAATTTACCATTATACAAACAACTACAATACTAAAAAGTTGTATTTCGTGCATGGTGTGGAGACTCTGAAACGAGGAAAAGGCAGTACCCCCCAAATGGCGGGAAAAGCGGCCGTGAGAAAGGCTAGTTATAGATGCAAGCACTCCCAGCGAGCTTGCAAGTTGGTTTTCGCCAAGTGTAGCAAAGAACCTTATAAAATATATTAGGAACATTTCAAACATCGTTTTCATGTGCCGCATCTACTGGTATATAATTTGTTCAGTTCGATGCTTGAAACAGGCCTTATTCATGTTTTGCATGTTGGGTTGCATGCAACTTCATGTACACTTTTAGGCGTATATGCATATATTTAACTGTGTTCTCTTTTTGATTAAGTAATATAACGACATATTACTCTTTTAAAAATACTGTGTGTTTTGCATGCTAGCCTACTTCATTTTAATTGAGATAAATAACTGCAGTTAAAATCTTCAAATGTAGAAGACAAAGGTTTGGCTTGTCCCTTTCCTCGACGTGTGTATCCCATGCATACGTCGTGTAAACCGCATGCATGGAGAATCAGAGAGAGTCCACATGTAGGATGCTCTTCACCCAATTGCAGAACTCGATAAACGACAAAGATCCTGGTTCATGCTGGTTACGTTCATAGATATCTTATGGTTACGTTTCTTTACAAACTAGTCTCTGTATTTATGGCTTAATATAATTGTGGTTTCAGCATAATGAGTCAAGCGCCTCTCCTAAATGACTATGCACTATATAGCATCCTTAACAATATTAAATTGCTCTCTATTCTAAATTTTTAGCTCAATTTAACCGTGGTTTAGACGTCATGAATCAAGCCGTTTTCGCCCCTGAAAGCGTACAACAACCTGGTGCACGAGAAAATGTCGCATACTTAACAAACACGGAGAGAAGGTAACTTTTCAATTCGATAAATTATTTAGTCCTACCTCGATACGATAATTGATAATGTATGCAAATGAATATAGTATAGCACAATTTTATATAGTATAGCACGATTTTAAGGAATCTTGTGCGCGTATAATATAATCTTACATGTGCATCTTAACTCCTATAATGTTTTGTTTTGAAAACTATCTTATGCTGTGTAGAACACCATTAATTTTAGTGATTTTACTTATTATAACTACTTCTTAATTGGTACACAAAGTTAAAAATCTCATTAATAATTCACGAGGAAAATACAAAAGAAATGAATGTTTAATCAATGTTTGTAAATCGGATAAAGATTTGTCCTGATTTACATAAACTTCAGCTTTTATTTTCTCAGGTTAGACAATGTTTATTTTTAAATATACTTCGCCAATAAGATGGATAATTTTTTTTAAGCGCATCCGATCTTTTCTGATATACAAACTCTCGCCTTCGCCTCGTGTTTGTATATCAGATAAAGATCGGCTGCTCATGTTTTAACTAGTACTTGTGATCAACATTTTATGGCAAGTTCCATTTGTATTATTTTCAGAAGAGAAGCAGAAGCTAGTTCATCTATTGGGAAACCAAGACCACAAGTACGTAAAACAAATATTCGAGTGTAAAACTAGAACTATATAGGTATAAACCTTGCATGCATGCAATATTTGTAAATTAAACGGTTTGTCTAATGCAATGCGTGTATTTTAGGTAGAACCAGCGAGAAATACAGCAGAACAAAATATACCAACGAATTTCAGAGATTTATTGGAAAAAATGGTAAGCATGAATTTTTTTGTGTGTTATGTACTCATGCAGGTGAATATGATGTTTGTGATGTTACTCGTTCTTCGGACTCGTGCTATTTTGAGGTCTTTGAAAAACTCACTCTTGCATGCCATATCCAAATTGCACTCGAGACCATGCTATTACCTATACTAACCAGGAAAATTTGAACCAGAGTGTTTTTGGGAGTGAATGCACGCTTGGGACTAGTTTCATGCAAAGGCTTGCAAAGCAGTATCTATACGAATATGCATGTCGCTCAACTATACTCGTGCAATAATACTTTATTTCTTTCAGGCGAATGAATACGACATCTCGTTCCTACCAATCACAGGGCGACGTCATGAAGGCAAAGCTTTGTATTCGTACGGAAAACTCACGATCTTTATTGAACGAGGGGTTGTTTTTTATCAAGCTCCAAATGGCAGCTTTAATCCTGTTTCCATAACGAACCTTGTAAATATGGCCAAGTAGTTTGCAACGCCATGAGCAAAGAATGATCTATTAATGGTGTCATGCGTTTGTGCGCATGCCTGACACGTGAAAGAAGCATCAAAACTTAAAGTCATTAATGGCTGGCAACAAACATTAGGCGTTTTAGACCTGACTATGATCTAGTTTGTTGCCATTAATCCACAAAATAAATAGGGCTGAAGGAGTCCCGTTAACTAGTGGCTTAGTCCAAGTTTATGTAATATATATAAAATGTGGTATACATATAAGTGTAATTTTATTGCCCTCTCAGGTAGGAAATTTAAAATTGAATCATGCGCGATCTATCGTTATACTACAAAAATAAAAACAAAATCAAGGCTAATTAACTATATACTGAATGCTATACGCTACTGTTTACTATGGTATATAACTATCACTATATATTTTACATTCTATTCATTCCAAATCACGCTTTCAAGTACAATACTACAATCCGCTTCTCTTACCCACGACCCGCTCCAAATAGATTATCCTAACGTGTAACAGTGCAATTACTAATTTGCCTTAATCTCCCACTAAAAGTAAATGGTGATATTGCAAGTATCGTCTATTTCAGGGTTATATGATTACCATTTGCGCCCCACCCCCTAATCACTCGTACAGAAAATTCAGTATTTAGTGATTTGTCAAAATGCAAGCTTAATATGAGAAAGGGGGAAAAGACTAACTTTTCACCACATTTTTTATTACCGTTTTCCCCATGCTCCTAGGTTGGGGAAAAAGGATTCATTCCTCATGATCATGCCCTGCATGCCCTTGTCTCATTTGAAGTTGAGGGAGACCGAGGAGCGGATTTTCGTAAAACCGCAAATGTGGTAATACACCAAAGCGCGGATGGATATGGATGCATCACATTCTAAGAATATTTATGAAGATAAAAAAAGCGAAACTAAATTACAGCTGAACCTCTATATAAGGTGGCACTTTAATGGGGTAATATACAGTAAATAATAGCGGTCATTTTCTTGACACGTATAGTCATTTAAAAGAGGGTGATGGCCGCTAATAGAGAGTCGCTTAATTGAGGTGGCAGGTTAATGGAGGATACTAAATATTCTACCATTATAGTGTAAATTATAGCGAACATTTTTGTGACATGTATAGCCGTTTAACAGAAGGTGCCGCCTAATAGAGGTTCGACTGTCCATATTATTAGAGATTATCCATATCCAAGGTGTCAAAACTGGTATTTTCTCTCCCATTGGCGACTGTTGTCGAGGTTATCTCAACGGACTTCTTTCTATTTCTATTACAATATTGATACCAGCATACCATCAACGTCAGTAATAGAAATGCACCAGCAACACAGCTTACAATGATAAGAGCAGTTTTAAAATCTGGTCAAAAGAAAAATACTGATTATTGCTCCAGTTGGCAGTGTCAGCTATAAAATGAGGCCTTTCTGGGATTTTTTTTAGGGTGTCACCAACACCACATCCAATCCAGGTATCTCAGGATACAGTGCTATCTATCTTCCAATACAGCAAAGCCCTCAGTATATGAGGATTATTAGCTGGGGTCAACAGAATACACATGTTGCTAACCCAAAGAAAAAGTTAATAATAATAAACTATGTAAAGTTAAGATAATGAAAAGCTAAATAATTGAAAAACTATAAAAAAAAACCTAGAGCGGATCGGAGATCGGGAGCTCCGCCAGAATATCCCATCGCCACGTAGGCACAGTGCTCCAGTGAACTATGCAATTTAGTTTCAAAATGTGGCGCCCATTCATTGAGTGGGCAAAATGTTTCAAACAATTTCGTTAAAATTTCCAATGAGTTGCACCGGTTTTCTATGCATTTTTGCATTGTGTCGAATTCTGGACTTTTCTTGCGAGTTAAAATTAATGCGTTTTTCTTTGTGCGTGAAAATATTGCCTTAGTGTGCGTCAAAATCGCACGAATTCAAGACTATATCCTCTAATAGATTATTTCATTTAATATACCTTCATCAGCCTTTTCACAGCCTTTTTCTTCCTGAGTATAACCAGGTTCACAGATACATTTCGCTTGTCCATTCAATCCTCGGAAACAATAAGAATGGACGGGACATTGACGCTGTTTGCATGGATCAACGCAATTTTCACCATCACCATAATAATTTTCTTTACATGTGCAAGTCACGATTCCATCTTTTATACTGCATGTGGCATGCATGTGACAACTGTGGAAGCCCAAGGAACAAAAATCTGTTTAAAATACAAAACAGAAAGTTTAATTTATTTTAGATTTCAAGTGGAAGACAGTGTAGTATCAACTGTTGCGATTTGCGGTTATATTTTCATGTTTTACGCACATTAGGGTTTGGATTATTGACAGGGTTGTGATATTCGTGTGCAAAAAACCAAGATATTCAAACTATAACTTCATGAAAAATAAGTAAAACGCTTTCATATATCTTCCAAGTAATTCTATCAATCCGCAGATGAGTGAAGATAATTAATATTAGGTAGTGCAAAGCATGACCACTTTCGACAAAGAGTTATACTGGGTAGAAAACCAAATATGTTCAAATTTTCTACTGTTTTTCATAAAAATCGTTTTCCAATAGACAATGCCAATCACAGTAATGAATCATATAGCAGTCATAGTTGGTGCATGCTTCTTTTGTCAAACTAACCAAAAATAAATTTTCTCCCCTATTTAGAGGCGCACATTCTCATGAAATCCGAAGTTGGAATATTGCAAGAGCGTAGTTTTTGTATCTCCAACTACAGATGATATATTGCCATGGTGCACGTAAGTTTTAGTGTAGGTTAGCTTGTTTAGATTATCCATGGGTGCCCTCTGGTTCCATTCCACATATCTACATTGTTGTTGCTCGCGTTGTTCGGTTGCATCACATGTATGTTTGTCTGTTTGTTGGTCTTCACCCCTCGAATTAATCTATATAATTGTATAATTTGTTACTTCATATTATTATATACTCACTAATCGCTTTCTACAGGGTGTATCATAAAAAACGGAGTCCTCGCTTCAAATATAAATTTCGAAACGAATATTAAAGCATAACGTTCAGGTTTACATTCATTTTAAAGCGTAGACATTCAGCTTTTCAATGGTGGGTTGTTTGTAAATATAATCCAGAAATTCGTGAATAATAATATTTTAAATGATTGCGATTGGAGAGTCAAAAATTTGAGATGCAATAATAACAAACCGGTACTTGATGAAAATAACTTATTTTGTCAACAAAACGAGCAAATTGAGGCATTTTGGCAATTGCTTGTAAAAATCAGGTAATAATGGCTTCCAATACACTATTTTAAATTCACTTGCTGACTTCAAATGCGTTATAATCCCGGCTGAAGCGTGTTTTAGCTTGCCGTCAACTTGCTAATTTATATTTACATTACGGCCCGATTCGATGGTGCTCGTTCGGACGATGCATGGACGTAAGGTTGTTTTGATGATTTCTGGAAATAATTTAGGATTTTGAAATAAATAAAACAACCTAATCTCTTTTAGAATGTTTTTAACAAGTTCTTACTAGTTTTTCTGATGTGGCAACAAAAACATTAAAGTTTGAACAAGAAAATTCAAACATTGCAACCGACTATGGAATAACACAGTAAATTTGTATAATTAAGCGGCATCTAAACATGATAGGTTTTACTAACTTTTCGCCTGTGCAGTTATTACTTGCACTAAAGACACGGATGACCATTTGTTCGAAAGATAAATGAACAGGCTTTAAAATAAGCCTAAAACCGTTTTATTAGAAGTAGCAGTAGGCCTACGAAAGTTATTAAGCACAAAATTTGGTCTCTGTTTTTTTTTATACACCCTGTATATCCCTTGTAATATATTTAACGTTATAATAATTATCTAATATATGGCAATTTAATAGCCTATATATGGAGTTTTACATACAAAACGCGAATTAAAAACTTAACGAATATCCAAAAGAAAATAGTTCGTCTAATGACATTTTCAAAAAAATGTTTGCTGACTTAGTGATTTTGAGTCATGCCCTATTGTAAATTAATTTAAAGAGTTTATTCATGTTCCGGTATCATTATTTGAACAATTTACCAAGCTTCTTCACAATTTTTTTCATTACAAACAATCAAATTAATCAACACAATACATCTAAACTTCATAAGACTTATCAAAGGAATAACCATGCGTGAAGCACTAACTTTCAGTAAAAGGAATAATCATGTAAATATATTACTCACCTCAAGCCTTACATTTTTTCATATTCAATTTATAGAAATTTTTAAATTTATAATAACTTAAAAGTTTTTAAGTTTAACAAAATAGTTCATCTTTTTTCAGTTTTATCTTTGTAACTTATCTGACGACGTCATATGAAATATCATCCCGATCGCCAACGGCACTTCAGAGAGTAAGCCCGGAGCGACGGTGCTAATTCCGTTCGCTATTTACAGCCGGATATGTGAGAACATGGCAAAGTGCAAAGTTACCTCCATTATGGTAATATGTAGCCTCCTCCCAAATCCCAAATATATACCGACCTTTCTACCAGAAAAGAATTGAATTTATTCCACGCTTTCAATCCATATCGAAAGTTTGGCCGAGCAGAAAGAAACAGTAAGAGCTTGGGTCCCCTTATGTTTCCTAATGTAGTCATACAAATTCCAAATTCGACAAAAATATTGTCTCTTTCTGGTTGAAAGCTAGGTCGGTATATATTTGGGATTTGGGAGTGGAAAACAAGAGTTGCCTGCGGAGAGGCTAGGTAATATGCATGCAACCCATCCACTATTCCTCTTCGTTTGTATGATGTATCATTATCATCATACGGTCAACCTTGAATGGACCTATTCCCTAATGAACAAAATTTTGATTTAGACAAGTCTAGACAAACATTTCACCACAGCTTGAAAGAGCATCACAAAATTAGTAATATTCCGAAGTTTCGTTGCGAAATGTTGTAATATGCGGATAATATAGCCCTGCGAAGTTTGCCGTTGTTCAGTCATTTTGTATTACGCACGGGAAATTGATACCGCTTTCTGAAAAAAGGTATCAATTTCCCATGCGTACTAATACAAAATGACTGAAAAACTGGGTTATATTATCCGCATTTTACAACATTTCGGAATATTACTAATTTTGTGATGCTCTTTCAAGCCGTGATAAAATTTTCGTCTAGACTTGTTTAGATCAAAATTTTGTTCATTAGGTAATAGGTCATTAGGGTTGCCAGATTATAACTGAATAAATAAACCAAATATTATTATCATAACCTTTGTTCGAAACAAAGACATCAAAGGGCCGTTTATAACAATGTTTGGCTTATTTATTCAGCAATCTGGCAACCCTGCGGCTTGAATCTATGATGTATATACATCATACATGCAGGTGCTGCACTTATATGTATGATGTATGTAATCATACATACATACATACATTGTAACCTGACCCTCCCCATTATTTGAAAATTGAAAAATTATAAGTAAAATAAGCAAAACGAAGTTTTTGGGCTTCTTTTTTTTAAGAAAACATATTTGCAAGAATTTAAAATTCATTTATTCAAAGGTTATTGAAAAACGCCCTGAATAAAGGAATCGGGCAATTATAAAGTATTTATTTCTCTGGGATGACATGGGTGGATCAAGAAAATATAAATAAATAAAAAACGTTATTATTACTATAATTATCAACGTACCTGCGGTCTTGATCGATCTTGATGACACAACAGGGATTGCCAGCGAACCATTCCGAACGGCTGCAACTACAACTAGCGATAGTTTAGATGCATTCACAGTCTCACTTTCTTGTAACTGAAATATCAAGACATACTGAGCAACAACACTTCCTTTTATAAAACCAGTAACCTGGCAACCAAGGAAACCTGGGAAATTGTTTTCCTTCCTGATCGCGGATGTTAAAGCATTCTGAATTTTTTCGGCGAGATTCCTATACTCAGCAGAGTTGGGATTATTGAGTGACTCTGTGAATGTTTGGTTTAGAACAAGCTCAGAGCTAAATATTGTGTTGCCAGTATCACAGTTGAAGCCGTTACTAATGTAACCTTTCTTGCAGCGACATAAAATGGAGTAATTTGAGTGCTGGATACATTCTGCATTCTTTGAACAACTTGATTCACTGCATTTCTTGACTATAGATGGGAGGAAAATGAATAATTAAATTCAGCACCAAAGTGACTTGTAGATTGTCTTTACTATACAGTGTCCTATTCAGTGGCATGACCATGGGGAAAATGAATAAATTGAGTACATTATTCATTTATTTACGCACGTATAATATACGTATACAAGTTGGAAACTTAACATTTTCACGAATAATTTTGTGCCCCTCAAACATGCCCGCGAATGTAAATAAAATGTATATAATTCTAATTTCGTATAATATCAATAATTTCCATCAACAATACCCTTTATACATTTTTATACTCGACCGAATTTTTTACCGCAAACCGTAAAGGGACGTGCGCAACTTTCACTTCCTTCATTGTGAAAAGGAAAAAAGATTATATAATAACTACAGTGAAACACGCAATTTGATTGGTCAACAGCCGTGCAGGATCAGACAATCCTGCACGGGAAATTCTGAACAGAAATTCTTGGACATAATTTTACAAATATACTCGCATTGTAAAGTTTCATTGTACGATACCTTTCGATAAATTTCTGATCAATACATTGCTATTCAGCAAGTAGCAACGCGTAGCGTTGAAATTTATCAGACCATGGCATGCAAGTACAACAATCTCTCGCTTCAAAGTTGATCAAACGCTTCGCAATCTTCACATATTCAGGTCGAGAATCTTGAAAACTACCTTGGTTCTCTGTTTAGCGGGTTTTCCATTTCAAATTTCGTATATTTTATCGAAAAAGTCCCTGTATTTTCGCTGTATATTTTCGCGAATTTGCGATCAAATTCTATTCACATATGTTGTTGTTTTCAATAGCGTGGAGTAGCGATTCTCTGATTGGTTAATTCACGAATGTTGTGAGAACTGCACATTTCATCAGTAATTTTAATCAAGTTAAGCATCGTTTCAATGTAGTAATTTTATAAAACAATTACCAAATGGTTTTTCCGTGCAGGATAGCATGATCCATGCACTTGGGATGTTGCTCGACTTTCGGAAATCGTAAAAATACACTCGCCTACGGCTCGTGTATTTTTACGCTTTCCGAAAGTCTCGCAACATCCCGCGTGCATGGATCACGCAATCCTGCACGGAAAACCATTCTGTATTCCTTTAATATTTTAACAAACAAGATCGCTTTGAACATTGACCAAAGTTCATTAAACCGTCTTTGAACGTTGACCAATTCTCATACTAATTCTCCCATATGTAGAAAACAACAAAATCAAAGAATCGTCGCCTGTACCGGACAATTAATGTATACTTCACAACGTCCTCCACCATTCAAAGCTGTATTAATAGCGAAACCCTGGGTTAAAATTAAACTTGCTGTTTCGGTTAGCATGTATTTCCGCATGTCTGTTTATTTCAAAACTTGAAAAAATAAAACTTCTCTTCATTACACCTTCTTTTGATCCAGACAAGTTTTCTAGAAAAATATTCCATGTTTATAAACAAGCTGTTGGGAAGATTGCTTTGAAGATTTTGTTTACCTGGGATTAAGCTAATCAGCTTTCAAACGATCGGCCGCACTAGGTCTACGAGGTTATACGCTTTTTCTTCGTTTTTCACCACGATAACTCAAATTAAAACGTATTGAACAGTTCAATACGAACGTATTCGGACCAAATGAGTATAATCGCGCCATAGGACAAGCCTCGATCAAGGCTTTGTTGAATTTCGATAAAAATTGGATAAATTTGTGAACCAATTTCGGGCTGTGTAAAAAAAACTCGGTGAATAATTTATGCATGAAATTTTTGAGGTTCGTTGGCGGAGGTATTCAGGTTAACATTAAGTTAGCAGGCATGCAAGCTTACCTGTACGCAGCTGCAAAATAGCGTTTGTGATTTCATAGAGGGTCATGTCATCTGACGAAGGCACAGTAGAAATTTTCACGTCTTTAATACCCTCTAGCTGATGAGTAGTGAACATATGTAGTGTCGTGTAATTTTCAAGGCTGATACCTAACACTTGAGTCAGCAGGTGAGCGACTGTCATCTCTTTCAAACTTGCACGAGAAACGTCAAAGAATGTTGAAATGTTTCGTATGGACAATGTCTTAGTGAATATCATCTTGTTTTCTCCAACAAGTATTTGTTTTAGTTCCTTGTCTGTCGTACTGTTGATCTTTTTCAAAGAAAGCCTATTGAAATGTTGTCTAATTTTCATGACATCCAAAGATATTTGAACATTATTTTTGTAAGTCATCAAACTTCTTTTGTACTCTGTTAGTTTGCCCAAAAGATTTTTAATTTGAACTGTTTTTTTTACTTGCTCGAGTACCTCCGGTTTAGAATCAAGAAGGACTTGTTTTGTTAAACCTGATAACTGAAGTATATCGTCAAAACTGATATTAAGTTCCTTCGCAAGCTCAATGCTTTTCACATACATTCTTAGTCTATCTGTTTGGTGTAAGAATATTTGGGCAATGGATTTTAACATGGTGTTGTTTCCAGTTAAATTCTGTTCATCACTGACAAATATGAGATGCATTAAAGTTGTCTTGTCGAGCAGTTTGACTTGATATGGAAACACTTGTAGATTTCGTACTAAGTCCAAAGCTGAGAACAGTTGGTTGTTGGTCAATAATGCATGGAGATTCTTGGACGGTCTTTCTGGCATCCTAGGTATTACTTCTTTCAGAGTCCTTAGGTAATAAGTCGTAAGGTTCATGTTTGGTCCTGCAGAATAGAAATGAATACTCAGTTCAAATGTACTTCGGTTAGTATAGGACGTCGGAAATGAGTCCATGTGGAAAATAAGATATTTTGAAGTGATTTTGAGAAGTTAAGTTCTCACTGCAGTTCTCATCCATTAACAATACCGGGGTTTTGGCTCAAATTGGATTTTGAAATAAAAATTAGTCAATCATAAGTTTTTGTCTGTCCCATGATCTGATAAATCCTACAACTGGAAATTTGTAGATACGCCTTTTGACTGAATTTCATGTCCTCGCAGTTGGTTCCAACCTATGGAAGATCAGACTTCAAATCCATGTCAGTCTTATTTCATGCTTACAATATAGTCATATATATATAATATTTGCTTGCTAATAGGAATTTTATGCCTTTCCGGCTGAGACATTGGGGTAGATAGGTTGGTCATTATAATTGATAAACAGGTGGTGGTAAGATAAGAATTGTCATACGAAGGAAATGGCAAGAATGTCCCTAGGGTGCGGAATGATCAAGCAGATGGCTGACTGGGTCATTTATAGTACATACTTTCATGCGGTTCACATCAGTCGCATTCAGTCTACAGTCAAGTGAACACCACTTTGTGAAGATATCAAAATTTATTAATCAAGGAATTTTTTCTTTAGTATCATTTTAATTCGAACAGGTAAGAATTTTTGCTTTATTCTGTTCTCTTTTACTGGTCTCAACGTTCGTTGGAGATTGTTATATTTGTTCTCCATGTTTTTGGGGATTTTAATATTTGAACTATATGTTCTCCATGTTGTTGGGGATTATTCTACTGTTCTCCATGTTCTTGGAGATTTTAATATTTGCACTGTTCTCCAAGTTGTTGGGGATTGTTCTACTGTTCTCCATGTTTTTGGTGGATTTTAATATTTGAACTGTTCTCCATGTTGTTGGAGATTGTTCTACTGTTCTCCATGTTTTTGGAGATTTTAATGTTTGAACTGTTCTCCATGTTGTTGGGGATTGTTCTACTGTTCTCCATGTTTTTGGAGATTTTAATATTTGAACTGTTCTCCATGTTGTTGGGGATTGTTCTACTGTTCTCCATGTTTTTGGAGATTTTAATATTTGAACTGTTCTCCATGTTGTTGGAGATTGTTCTACTCCATGTTTTGGAGATCTTAATATTTGAACTGTTCTCCATGTTGTTGGAGATTGTTCTACTTTTCTCCATGTTTTTGGAGATGTCTGGTTATAAGTAATTTTGGCCATCCAGGGCTCGTAACTTGCGGCGACTCTAAAAATGTCAGCCATACTTGCCCTGCGAAAATTTATTCGATTATCATCGTTTTTCATGCGGCTCAACGATGATGTATATTAATCGCAGTTGTCATTTATCGTTGATCAATTATTCTCATTACATTCAAAACTGTTTTTCGCAAGTTTTTCCCGTTGCAGAATGCCACCAAAAGGGAAAAAGCAACGCAAAAGACCTGCTACCGCGTCAGCTGATGGCCCGTCATCGCAGCGTAGTCGCCGTAGTTCGACCATCAACGCTACAATGGCGACGCGCAGTGCCAATCAACCACCTTCAGTTAATACGGCACCGACGGTTTCTGTTCCTCCTGTTACCGATGCTGTTTCTACGGAGACTGTTTTGCCGCCCGAGCTTCTCCAGACGCTGGTGTCCACAGTGACTGCCGAAGTAGCGAAGCAGCTTTCGACGCAATTTTCAACGATGCTTCCCACTCCAGTGCCAGTGGCATCAACTGATCATCAACCAGTTCCCAATTACATGCAAGAGCCAATTTCACGCCATAAAGTTCCACCGACACAAAGTCAACAATCCGAGGCCAACACTCTGGTAACTGGGGCAATAGCTGCGGCTCATGCCAGCATTTCAGGTGAGCCTCAGTTATTGCCTACATTAAATAGTAATAGCGGGAGCAATTCTGTGGAACCTACCCAACTCTTTCACTCGGCCAGTTTACCTATCGATTCCAGGGTATCAGCAAAACTTAAGGGAAAAATTTGGAATGGGGAGTTCATCGATTTTGGCTGCTTGTTGAGCAATTCTAATAGCGATAAATTTCAGATTTCATTCATGAGTTCCGAAGCGGGTCTCCCAGCTTCGTTTTGTCTCGAACCAGCTTCAAAGCCAAAGAAAATTTTAAGTATTGAGGTCTGGCTTCAGGCCTTTCACATTTTTGTAGGTATATATACCCAAAAATTCCCGCATGAGGCCCCCGCCCTCATGAAATACGGGCAAACAATACGCGATTTGGCGTTACGCGGTCAGAATTGGCGTTTCTACGACGAAAATTTTCGATTTCTCCGTCAAACTCAATGTAGCCTTGTGCCATGGGGCTCGATCCACAGCGAACTGTGGTTGCGTTCACAATATTCCACTATTTCCACCAGCAAGCGAGCCCCTGGACCCCAAATAGGCCACGATAATGGTAGTTTAAAGCCGCGAGTCCGACCACCTAATGCTGTACCATGGGGTTATTGTTTTAAATTTCATCGCGGTCTAGCTTGTTCAGGCTGCGAGTTTAAACACGCATGTTTTAAATGTCAAGGTAATCATCGCAGCACTCAGTGTGGCAATAATTTTCGTGGCCTCAGTGGTAAATCAATCGCCAATTCCGATCGCCCCGCCAAATCATTTCCTACCAACTCCGGTAAAACTTTCGCCTCTCATTAATCTTTTGTCCGGCTATGAACAAACTAATTTTAATCAATTAATTTCTGGGTTTTCGTTTGGTTTTTCTTTACATTTTGACGGTGAAGCTCGGTTTCTAGAGTCTAAAAACTTATCGTCGGCCCTAGAACACCCAAGCATTGTTGACCTGAAACTGACTAAGGAATTAGCGGCCTTTCGGGTGGCTGGTCCTTTCACAGCTCCGCCATTTCATTCCTTCTGTGTTTCTCCTCTTGGACTAGTTCCTAAGAAAACACCAGGCGATTTTCGTTTAATTCATCATCTGTCGTTCCCAAAAGGGGCATCGGTAAATGATGGCATTTCCGCAGAAAATACTAGTGTTCATTATGCAACCGTGTCCGATGCTATACGTCTAATCAAACGTGTGGGGCATGGTTGTTATTTGGCAAAAACCGACATTAAAAACGCTTTTCGCATCATGCCAATCCACCCAAAAGACTATCACCTTTTGGGAATGAAATGGCGGGGACTATACTATTATGACCGCTGTATGCCCATGGGCTGTGCTAGCTCATGTAAAACTTTCGAAACATTTAGCACTGCCGTAGAATGGATTGCTAAACATAAATTCGGGATCGATGAACTTCTCCATCTCCTAGATGATTTTCTATTTATTGCCCCTACTAATAGCCAATGCCAGGGACATTTGGATAGATTTCTTACATTATGCGCGGAACTAGGGATTCCAATTGCGCCTGAAAAAACCTGTGGTCCAGCAACGACACTCGTTTTTGCTGGTATCGAGTTAGATTCGGTCAAAGGTGAAGCTCGTTTGCCTATGGAAAAAATCGCCAAATGCGTTGAAACAATTTCATCTTTTCTTCAACGGAAGAAGGTCACATTAAAAGACCTCCAGTCCTTAATTGGCTTGTTGAATTTCGCTTGTTCTGTAATTGAGCCAGGCCGCGCATTTTTAAGGCGCCTTATTGACCACACACAAGGCACTCAAAATCCACGTCATTTCATTCGATTGCGTTATGAAGTAAAAGCGGACTTGCAAATTTGGCAAACTTTTCTGTCCTCTTTTAATGGCGTTTCAATTTTTCGCGATGAAGCGTGGCTCAATTCCACCAAGTTGAATTTATTCACTGATGCGTCAGGTTCTATTGGTTTTGGGGCTATATTTGGCACTGAATGGTGTTATGGTCGATGGCCATCACACTGGTTAAATCGTAACATAGCCATTTTGGAATTTTATCCAATTGTCCTCAGCCTGTGCTTATGGGGGCATAAGATGCGCAATCAATCTATATTATTTTTCAGTACCGACAATCACGCGTTAGTTTATGTCATTAACAAAAAGTCCTGTCGGGATAAGTCATTAATGTGTTTTGTTCGCAGGATGGTGTTAATTTGCTTACAAAACAATATCCTGTTTAAAGCTAAACATATCCCTGGTATTCATAACAAACTGGCCGATTGTTTATCTCGATTTCAGGTGTCAGCCTTCAAACACTTGGCACCGACCAACATGAACAATCTTCCAACAGACATCCCCCTCGACCTGCAGCCTCAAAGCTGGCGGATATAATAACGCGTTTAACTAAATCTAGTTTGCAGCCATCGTCCATCCCTACTTACACTAGGGCATGGAGACTATTTACTCAATTCCACAGCACAGTTTTTCGGATGGCGTGCTTTAGCTTACCCATTTCCCCGGCAACACTGGCACTTTTTATTGCATATTTATTTGACCGCAATTATGCATCATCCACGGTCAATACATACGTCTCTGCGATTGGTTACTCTCATAAATTGTCTGGTTTCCCAGACCCAACCCGAGTATTCTACATTTACAAATGTTGAAGGGTTATGCCAAAAATGGCGCAAGGTTGGATAGTCGGTTACCTATCACGTTGCCAATATTACAAAGTTTGCTTAATGTCGCTCCTTCCATTGCTGGTTCTACATACCAGGTTTGTCAATTTAAAGCAATGTGCTCGTTGGCATTTTATGCCTTTTTAAGGATTGGGGAACTTACTGCAACTAAGAAAGCATGTCCTCAACCTCTACAATTACACCAAATAGCACATGTGCGCGACTCACAGAATAATGTAATTGGCATCAACTTGACCTTCTTAAATTTCAAACACAATTATAATCAACGTCCTTTTACATTATTGATCAATCGCCAAGCTACCTGTTGTCCTATTGCATTACTGCTCGAATACATAGCGCTACGAGGTAATCGTGCGGGTCCTTTGTTTATCACGCAAGCCGGGGGACCTGTTGCCAGGGAGGTTTTTGCTACGCAGCTGTCCCAAGCAATTCGTTGTTGTGGTCTGAATCCAGATCGTTATAAATCTCATAGTTTTAGAATCGGCGCCGCTTCTTATGCTGCCGAACGGGGGATGTCTGATGCTCAAATTCGAACCATGGGCCGATGGAAGTCAAACGCCTTTCATAAATACATTCGCATTTCATCGCTCATCACTTAATTATTTTATTAACCTATCTACAAGACTTGCGGGGGCGTCTTGTGGTGTGGTCTCCTCTCATAGTAGCATGCTTCTCTCAACGGGGGACTAAGTGCGATTAGCACGGGCGGTCGCATTTTGTCTTTCGTTCCATAAGTAATGCACAATTTAAGTATATTCAACGGGCGACCAAATGCAATTAGCACGGGCGGTTGCGTTTTGTCGTTCGTTCCATAAGTAATGCACAATTTCAGTATATTTATTATTAACGGGCGACCAAATGCGATTAGCAAGGGCGGTCGCATTTTGTCGTTCGTTTCCATCAGTATAAATGCACAATTTAAGTATATTTAACGGGCGACCAAATGCAATTAGCACGGGCGGTTGCAATTTGTCGCTTGTTACAGTGGTGTCACCAGTTTAGTGTCATTGCTTTGCAGCTTTTTTTTTTTACGACACACATTCCATATCATATAGTACGATTTCTACGGAGTTTATGACCAGATAGTTAGCAAGGGCGACTATCTTGGCTGCGCGATGGGCTAATAAGTCTCTAGTAAGCCGATATTTTTTGTAATATAACTACAGTTTGCAGGAGGCGACTGCTTGTCATTGAAAATTGGATGTCTATCACGTTGATTTCAGGTATTTAGCACGGGCGAATACCTCGGTTTTGTTTGCGCACTGTGTCACTGTGCGTCATAATTATAATGGTTCATAAAGCATGAGGCTCGAGTGTTGCATTTGCCTGGGGTGGGGCGGCATCTTTCCCCAGTTCGATGCTTTGGCGTAATTTTGCCCTCACCTTTCCTGGGCAGAACTGTTTAAGAACATTTTAATGCGATATATTATATGAATCCTAATCTTTGAAAGTTTAATATTAATAAAGCGGCTGGGGGGAATCGTTACCCCCAGCCAGATAAACCCAACTACGTGTTGAATGTCTTGTTTTGTGTCCATTAGTAATACTTTGCCCAGCAAACAGAGCGCAGGAAATGCAACACTCAAGTCTAAATGCCAGGAAAATACTATCTTTAATTAATCTTTAATATTCGCTAGTTCAAAGGAAAGGCATAAATATAATATTTGCCTTTCCGGCTGAGACATTGGGGTGGATAGGTTGGTTATTATAATTGATAAGCAGGTGGTGGTAAGATAAGAATTGTCATACGAAGGAAATGGCGAGAATGTCCCTAGGGTGCGGAATGATCAAGCAGATGACTGAAAAAGGGGTCATTTATAGTACATACTTTCATGCGGTTCACATCAGTCGCATTCAGTCTACAGCCAAGTGAACACCACTTTGTGAAGATATCAAAATTTATTAATCACCCACCTCCTCCCCATGTCTGCATCTGTCATTATTGTTAATGTTTATTGCCTATTTTGTAAGTAATGGCGTAATTTTGCCCTCACCTTTCCTGGGCAGAACTGTTTAAGAACATTTTAATGCGATATATTATATGAATCCTAATCTTTGAAAGTTTAATATTAATAAAGTGGCTGGGGGGAATCGTTACCCCCAGCCAGATAAACCCAACTACGTGTTGGATGTCTTGTTTTGTGTCCATTATTAATACTTTGCCCAGCAAACAGAGTGCAGGAAATGCAACACTCAAGTCTAAATGTCAGGAAAATACTATCTTTAATTAATCTTTAATATTCACTAGTTCAGAGGAAAGACATAAAATGGCTTTTAATGGTAATCATCTTTACGGAACAAAACCATGGAATATATACATATAGTGATGTTTTTATGTTACTCTGAGTGTATATCCGCACCGGGCAAGCTTGAAAAATATGCTTGGCCACGATGGGAATCGAACCTTAGACCTTTGGATACTACCCCAATGCTCTGCGAACTGAGCTACGCGGTCAGGTCAGTTCAAGAATGTGATATTTTCGAACTGAGTCTAGTTCTTTCAATACCAAGCAATATAGTAATCATGATTTTTTTCTGTGTTGGTATTATCTACTTGGGCTAGTATATGCACTGGGCTAGTATTCCAAAGGTCGTAGGTTTGATTCCCACCGTGGCCAGGTATATTTTGCAAGTTTTCCCGGTGTGGATATACACTCAGAGTAACATCACAAACATCATATTCACCTGATTACATAACACCAGCACAAAAAACATATATATATATATATATACCAAATATGTATTTAGAATCATATATGAGTAGAGTGCTCGATATACCGAAGTATAGAGCTAATATAGATAAAGATAAAATAAACCTGGTTTACTTCATAAGATTTAATCTTATGAAGTAAACCAGGTTTATTTTATCTTTATCTATATATATATATATATATATGTAGATTTAGCACTATTTAGCACTACTAATCATAAAAAAATGACCCTTTAGAATCAGAACTTTTAGAAAAACAAAGGATCTTATCCACTTGGGAATTTAAGATAACTTCAAGTTCTAAGTGCATCAGTGAGGCAAAGCAAATTTTCTAAATATTCTGATACTGCATAAAGGGTCACTTTATCTATGATATAGTCATTATAAGAAATACTGAATGTTGTTTATAGATAATATTATATAAAGATTAATTGGTTTAAGGGTGCATTGCAACCAGGGATGCCGGAACTGGGGGGCAGGGGGGGCAGCTGTCTCTCTTGCCTTTTGCTAGGGGGGCAGAAGTGCCCTTTTAGTTGTAAAATACTACCTGATAAATCACATTTCCAGTGATGCTTTTTCGGGCAAAATCATGAGATTCAGGTAATTTATAGGCCCAGAGAAAGTTAATTTACAAAAATAAGTGTGAATTTTGAAAAGAATGAGGTTAATTTACAAAAATGTTAGAAAAAAATTTCGGATAAATGGAGAAAATTACTGATGTCCGGAAAAATTTATTTACGTCACGAAAATTTTTTGACCCCTATAATGCTACACTGACCGAAATTTTTTGATCAGGTAAATTTCGAACTTTTGATTTTTTGAGGTGCACTTTGGTGTGCGTCTGCCCGCCTGTGCCTTTTTATTGTTCCGGCGTCCTTGATTGCAACTTAATGATTTGAACCTTCAGGAACTTTCAAGAAGAGATATAAGTTCACTTTTCTTCAGTTTTGAAAGTCCTCTTCGATTAATCCCCTTGCCATTGATTGCCTACCTCAGCTGTGCGACTGTGAAGCTCCTGTAATTAACTGAACCAGTTGCAACATCAGCAGTCACATCATCATCCTGAAGGATAGCAGCTTCTGTAAGTGGTTTAGATTTTTTACGATTTTGGTTGATATCTACATCTCAGTATTCATGATTTCTTTTAATGTAGTTGCCTTTCTTTCTCATGTTCCCCTAGGTCCCACTGTCTACTCTCCATAAAAAGTATATCTTTGGCAGAATCCCATTTGTTTGATTTTTGAAATAAAATTCTCTTTGCATCATCATTGTTTTTCTCTACACCTTGTCCAGTGAACTTTTTGAAGCAACCATGATTTTGCATAAACAATGGAACGTGGTAACACATGATGTGCATATATGGAGTAACCCTTTGATTTTCATACCCAGTTCGATCCTTTTTTATTGAACAGAATAATTCGAGCCACTGTTTTGCTTTTTCAAATGCAGTATTAGACATATCACTTGTCAAATTAGGATCGGATATAAAATCATAGTATTGTTTGAAATCTTCCCATATTTTCACAACAGTGGCAGCAGTGTTTGAATTCAGATAATTTGGTAACTTGGAAGGCAATTTTTTTAAAAGTAGCTTTTTCTGTGCCCCAACAAGGCTTGTGTAATGTAAAATATTGCTACTTGAGCCGTCCCCATTTTTTTTGTACCACACAGAAAATGTAACACCAAGTTCATTAACATCTTCAACAAATTTCTTTAAGTTTGCTCCTTTCGGATGTCCCTTTGGTTTGTTGAAGTCGTCAAAACTATCCTTTTCCAAAATTTCATCGATAACATTTTGAAGAAGTCTGTCAGTCACTCTTAATAGGGACCTTAAGCTGCACGTACGACGGCAACGCGACGATGACAGCTAATTGATTGTGAAGAAGAGTTGTTATGTATTATCCACTGTATGCATGTATATATGAATTGAGTTCAATTTGAAGAGATTAAAACAAAGGCTTTATGGTTAAAAACGCTTCTGCTCAGCAAATTTGTAGTTTCACTTGTCGCGTCTTGACATGTTTGCGTTGTACACGAGACGTGAAAATCTCTGTTTTGCAGTTATAAAAAGCCCTAACACAACGTCTGTAACTCCCGTGGGGCATTTAATTATTCATTTCTTTTGTACGAGATCAGGAATATCATTGTGTGAATAGCCGTCGTCGTCGCGTTGCCGTCCTGTTTGCTTAAGGTCCCTAATAGGAGATATAATTCATCAGCCACAACATGATCCAAGGATATATTAACAAGAGGGGGGTTAATACAGCCAAAGTTGACTTGTTGCATTTGCATTGCTTTTTGATATTTTCCAGGGTTCTTTTAAGGGGTGCCGTATTATAAAAAAGTAAATCTTTGCTTGTGTCCCATCTAAGATTTTTGTGGATTTCACACCACAAACATGCATAGTCAGCATTTGCTGAATTCAGGCTCATAACCATCAACAAAAATATGTAGTCTCCACCCAGGAAAAATTCCAACTTGACTTCCTTCCCATCAACAAGTAGGGTCCCTTTTTCAATAAGGGAGTTTACCTCATCAAAAAAATCAGGAAGTGCAGTCTTAAGTGTTTCATAATCCTCTTTAAACCTCATCAAAAAAATCAGGAAGTGCAGTCTTAAGTGTTTCATAATCCTCTTTAACATAACATTATTTTGTTGCAAAAGTGCAAAAGAAAACATCATAAAATTGGTCGACCGGGTTATGCAAGCACCACCACCACTCAACTTAACTTGTAAAACACTATCAATTAGACCAGGTTGCTGAGTCAATAGTTCTTGTACATGGTCTCTCAGAGTGGAGGTAAAATTAAGCCTAGCACCAGGATATCCCCGAGTCCTTTCAATATGGTAGGTTTTGTTCATATTCCCTCTCATTTGTTTCACTAGATATGATTTTGGTAAATCATCTGATAAACTAGTAAATTCATGATAGACTGCATCGCCAACACAGAATTTGTCCAAAAGGAAGAGAATTTGTTCAACCCTTTCTTTTATATCATTTTGACATAAATTTGAGGAAGCACCATGGTCTGCAGCATAGTCAAACGAGTAATTACTACCATCCTCATCTTTTAGTTTAATTTGACTCATTTCAAGGCTGAAGCTCTTCATAAACCATAAGGCGCATTGTGCTTTATTTTTGAGAACCCGCAGTTTCCTTCCCTTCTGTTTGCTTCCCTTCTGTTTGCTTCCAACTTCATGCATCTTTCTCCCCTGACAGTTCAGAAAGTCTCTCTTTTCAAGAGTTTCCACATATTCTGCCAGCTCTTTGTTTACAAGTGTCAGGTCAGATATTTCCTGTTCCATTTTATCTTTCTCATTCATCATCTGTTCTAATAGGTTATCCCTCTCTTGTTCCAAATCACTGCATTTCTTTTTGTACTTTTCAAGCTCCTTGTTGCTCTTATCTACTTCGGATTTATATTGGTGTCTCTCCCCTGTTGACGCTAAGTTTGTACACCTTGTCGTTTAGTTGTTCTCACTTTTGTACTTTCGAAGGCATTTTTTACAGCTGCCGACTGCTTGCGAAGTCTTTCCTCTACATGTTCGCTTTTTACAACAACCCATGCATCTGTCACAGTTGAGTTAAGAAAATCAACATAATTTACATTTTGCCCGGAAGTGCTATTACAAGGGTTGTTCCACAAAAGTAATAAAGGCTATAGAATTTCCACACAAAACGAAATCTCGTTTGCTAAATCTACTTGTCTCCTGACATAAGTCGGAGGCGCTTCTGAACTTAATTTCAATTTCCAATCTAGTTTTCTCTTCTTGTATTCTTCCAGAACCTCCGACATTTTGATTTTAACGCGTAATGCTTTGAAAATCCCACTAAATTTATGCATGCAAACTTGCTAATTCAACACGCAATGAAGTCATGAAATCACGCAAATTTCTCGGTTTTTCTGAACTAAGAGACTGGGGGCTACCCTACTTTGTAAATAAAGAACATGGCTGCTCGACACAGTGAAAAAACGCTCTCATGGTTTGTCCTTCTGGCTCAAAGACTGACTGAAAAATGTCATTCTGATGTGTCAAAAGACTCGGAAAAAGCCAATTTTAAATGGGAACCAGTTTGTCGGGGCTAGCCACCGATTTTTTTAGCTGTATCAACAGTTCAAACATCGCCAACTTTATTACGATCTTGGCACTTTCTTTCCCCCGAATAGATGATGAGATTTTCAAAAAAGTTTGAACCCATGTGTGATCGAATTACTATGGATTATACTATGCAATGCGTCAAATGGTAGTGAAAAATTCATCGATCTCAGGAACCACCAAGACAAATGGAAATGCTAGGATTTTGATGTACAAATATTCCCTATTCATGTGCCTACTATTATCGAACTCGGCAACCATGAAATATTCCATCAAAGTAGGCGAAAATTTGATATTTTTATCAATTCCTATAGAGTTTATAGTAAAATTTGGTCGCCATATTGGGACAATGTGCGGCATGTGCATCCGCCATCTTGTCCCATATTTCTGATAATGCAGTGTCTCGTACAGAGAATTTACGAGGATGGTTTATCGATTCTTCTAGAGCTGTGCAAACTTATTGGTTATTTTAGCTCTGGGTCCGGCAGTCAAAACTCCGGGTCCAGCAAGGAAATTTTAAGGAAATTTCATATTTCAATTAGAAACAGGCAAAATATTTCACTGTAATTTCAGAATTTATTATTCCTTTTTGAGCTTTCTCCTCTACTTATCAAATATACATCCTTTGGTGCTTGTTTAAACAATGTTTTGTAGAAAGTAAAACCACATGACAGTGTGGTATTTTTGCCCAAAATACATTGGGATCAGTGGATTTTCGTATCAAAAGCAATAGTGATGCGCTTGCAGAATTTTCGAAGCGACGAATCAGATCGGAGCAAGTAATTAAACTTTATAGTAACTTCAAATAATTCAACTTAATTTTTCCATCACCAAAAGTTCATTGAAATATGAAATAATTGTCTATAAAACATAATAAGTTACAAATAAAACAAATTGTTAGGTAATTTCAGTTCAGTCTTCAAATCAATTTGTTCTCCTTTACATTTTAAGATTTTTCCTCAAATTAAACAGTAATTTATGAAACTTAGAGCTTCGTTGAAAAGGAAAACAGTTCATGTTTTTAGGCAAAAA